CTCTCTTGCTGCCTTTAAGATGATCTCTTTGTCTTTAATTTTGGCATTTAATTATGATGTGTCTGGGCATGGGCCTGTTTGGTTCTTTTTGCTTGGGAAGCTCTTTGTGCCTTGTGAACAAGTGTGACTTTTTTCTTCACCACGTTAGGGAACTTTTCTGCCATTATTTTTTCAAACACATTCTCTAGCCCTTGCTCCCTTTCTTCCCCTTCTGGTACTCCCATTATGTGAATATTATTACATTTCATGTTGTCCCACAGCTCCTGTAAGCTGTCCTCCTGTTTTTAATTGCTTTTTCTTTTGGTTTTCTGATGAGTGATATTTTCAACTCCGTCTTCTAATTCACTGATTCGATCTTCATTGTGCCCTAATCTGCTGTGTATTCCTTCCAATGTATTCTTTGTGTTATGTCATTCTTTATCTCAGACTGTTCTTTTTTCATAGTTACTATATCTTTTTTCATACTGTTGAGAATTTTTAACATCATTACTGTGAACTCTGTTTCAGATTAATTTTTTATCTCTGCTTCATTTATCTCTTCTTCTGGAGAATTCGCTAGTTCTTTCATTTGTGGGTTGTTTCTTTGTTTCCTTGTTTTGGTTGTCTGTTTGGGTTTGTGACTCTGTATTAGGTAGATCCTCTATATCAGTGGTCAGCAAACTGCAGCTCACAAGCCGCATGCAGCTCTTCGGCTCCTTGAGTGTGGCTCTTCCACAAAATACCACATATGGGCGCGTATGTACAATGCGATTGAAACTTGGTGGCCCGTGCACAGAAGTCAGTATTTTGTGGAAGAGCCACACTCTAGGGGCCAAAGAGCCGCATGTGGCTCACGAGCCACAGTTTGCCGACCACTGCTCTATACCTCTCAACCTCTAGTGCAGGACAGTATTAAAGGCTGTTTCTGACTAATTGGATCAGGCAAAGACTCAAAGCCTCCATACTGCCTCCGTCTACATCAGTGGTTCTCAACCTGTGGGTTGCGATCCCTTTGGGAGTCGAACGACCCTTTCAAAGGGGTCGCATAAGACCATTGGAAAATACATATATAATTACATATTGTTTTTGTGATTAATCACTATGCTTTAATTATATTCAATTTGTAACAATAAAAATACATCCTGCATATCAGATATTTACATTACGATTCATAACAGTAGCAAAATTATAGTTATGAAGTAGCAATGAAAATAATTTTATGGTTGAGGGTCACCACAACATGAGGAACTGTATTAAAGGGTTGTGGCATTAGGAAGGTTGAGAACCACTGGTCTACATACTAATAGGATTCAGACTTGAATTGTCCCCAGGTAATCGTCCTCAGGTGTGGCGAGAGTTTTTTCAACAGTTGCTTCTGCCTGGAGGCTAATTGTTACTTTTAATCTCTCTCTTTTTTTAAAATATATTTCTTTATTGATTTCAGAGAGGAGGGGAGAAGGAGAGAGAGATAGAAACATCAGTGATGAGAGAGAATCATTGATTGGCTGCCTCCTGCACTGGGAATCAAGCCCACAACCCAGGCATGTGCCCTGACTGGGAATCGAACTAGGGACCTCTTGGTTCATGGGTTGATGCTCAACCACTGAGCCACACCGGCCGAACTTTCCTGACTTCTTTAAAAATTAAATTTATTGGGGGTGACATTGGTTAATAACATTCTTGCCTCTTCTGGCACATCTACTATTCTTCCCCCCAGGCAAAGCAAATGTCTATGTGGGAAAGATGTCCTCCACTGTGTGAGGGAATGACTCAGTCCAGGAAACTTGGGGTGTCTGCCTTCTGACCTCTATCCCCCGAGTCCCCAGTCCTGGGTTCTGCTCTCACAGCTCCAGTCCACTTCACCCTCACTCTGCCAGAGCACAAGGTGGTTGACTCCACAGGAAGTTTTTGTGCATTGGCCCTTTAAGAGGGTGCCTGAACTTTAAGCTGCCACCCCCTGGCAGATAGTACCCCACTGCTTTTCACAGTTAGTTGTTATGTGGGTACCCTCCTCAGTTTGGTGCTCTCTGCTGGGGAACCCAGCTTCAGGATTAGATCCCAGAGTTCTCAGTGACATGTGTGCGCGCGCACACACACACACACACACACACACACACACCGAGCTAAGAAATCTCTCCAGGACTTCAGTTGCCCTCTCTGGGTGTCCCGGCCAGCCCTTTCACGCCTCCATTCCTCCTACCAGTCTCTATGCAGTCTCCACCTTCGGTCCTTGGGTTATCAGGGTTCTCTCCTGTGAGTTTTCCATTGGTTATTCAGGAAGCCTTTCATTATTTCAGTTGTAATTCCACCTTGTTCCTGGGAGCATGGCCATGCAGCATCCTCTTTCTCTGCCTCCATTTTTTATCTCCCCCAACTCTTTTAATGCAACAATTTTTCAGAACACTTCCCATACATTTCTCATTTCATCATCACAACAGTCTTGTGAGGAACTGATGCTGCACACCTGGATG